CTTTTTTTGCGAAACAGCTTGGCAAATTTCCAAGCGGCTCGTCCGCTCATGCAATGTGTGAGAAAAGTGCTGCGTCACGTGTGTTGCTTCTCGTCTTTAGTTCGAGGGGGTGCCCAACCTGGCGACGCAATAGTTCGCAATGTTGGGTTGCACAAATTCTTCGTCATGGCGGCACACCTTTTTGGCAGTACTGGAGCACACGTTCAACCCGCTTCTTCTTGGAGTGCAGAATGTCGAAAAAACAAAAAGCACCACGGCCAAGCAGCATCACCAACATCATTGGGAAGTGGGCGGGCAAACTTGAAGAAGCTACGAAATTGAAAATTCACAGTTGTTTCAAGTTCGCCACAGGAATAGCGAGTCGGTCACCCTGCATGCTTTATCTTCTTGGACATTTTTCCCGTCCTGTAAACCTTCCTCTTCAATTTTCCTCCCTCAACTCCTTCCTGGAACAAATCAGGACAACTGACCAGCACACGGCCGCTCTGAGCCTGGACATGGAACTTTGTTTTTGTATGGCAAATTTTGGAACGGTAGGGTTTCGTTGTCCACGGGGCTTTGAAAGGTAGGGCCCGTGGACCTGCCTTTTTGTCAGGGCGCCGCAAGCCAGAAAATCGAGCCCAAAAAACCAGCTGCGCAATGCCTACATTCCGCTCAATGCAAATACGTCATGAGCACGAGCTGGGTGTTGTCCCATCACATCCCATGAGTTCATAGTTCATGGTGCCTGTGACACCAACCTCACCCGGAGCCGCAACCGCTATCACTACCAACTAAACCGCATGACGGGCGCTCAAAACGCAGCATGGTAAGAGGCAGAATCGCTGCGAACAGATAACAAGGCAACATATCCTTAGTTATCCTTCAAGTTGCTTTCCCCGGAGAAGTCAAATAATATTGCCCATGTGCTTTCCATGGTCGCCACCGACATGAACACTTGAGATTGAAGAAGTACGGTGCGCTGCTCCCCAACAGACTTGGAGCTTCCTGGCGCAATCAGAGGGCCAGACATCAGTGGTGCCACAGGACTGTCTCGCTCACTGGCTTTGCCACTACACAAACTAGACTGATCACCGGGGTCGCCATGAGGAGTGATCCATTCAGCTCCTAATTGCTGGGTCCACAGGAAAAGTGCCGGGGCCAAGTCTGGTCCTCCAACACGCGGGAAGCCTTGCTTATTCATCGGGTTTCTCGCACTTTGCAGACTCCAGAAGCTCTTCCATGGGATGGGTTCGCCTGCGGTCAGGTTGCGCACGCTAGAGAAGGTTAATTATGCAATCAAAGCTTTGAGCAACGCGGAGGCAACTCTTCAGGTCCGCTTGCAGCGACTTATCCAGGTGGTTGAGGACGCCGCTGCTGAGAATGTCTCTCCGCCCTCGCGCAACCTTTCCGGCGCACACTCCTATGGCCATGATGTGGTGGGAGCCCCCCATCATTACCCACTCACCAGTCTGCGCAAATTTCATTGCATTCAGGCTTTGGAACCAAGAAGCCGGAGTTGAATCCAAATAAGTTGTTGGGGCCTAGGTACTGGGGAACTGGATCGAAGCCTTGAAGCCACCAAGCTTCGAGGCGTGGAGGTGTCGAAGTGTCGAGGCGTGGAGGTGTTATGTGGAAGGACGTTGCCAAACCCATTTTATCTACTTTGTTTTTTCCAATAGTTTTTGGTTCTTTTCCTAACACGGATGGTCGGTGCTCCCCGATCTTGCAAACTTGGACGCGATCGCCGGGCATTGACACAGCAGAGCAACAACTCTTGATCAATTCGATTGCCAATAAAAATAATTGGTCCTCATAGCAAAAGGAACCTGATAGCAATGGCCTCCAACCTAGAAGCGATGGCCTTCAACCTAGAAGCGATGACCTCCAACCTCGAAGCGATGACCTCCAACCTAGAAGCGATGGTCAAACCTAAAAGGCGGGATGCCTCC